ATACCCCCCCCCCCCCCCCCCCCCCTCCGAAGAGTACCGTCACCACCCCCCTCCATGGGCTGATGATTTTTCCCGAGGAATAGTTGTACCCGCGAGAGGACGGTTGTCGGCCAGACCACCGGAGACTTCTCGTAGATTCGACTACAGCGATATGCCGGGATTATCGGGGCGACAAACATGCATTTCGCGGGAAAGGAAACCCACCGGTAGAGCTCGTCTCAACCCCTTCCCTCCCTGTCTTGAACACACGACCGCAGATGGGCCAGCATCCCGTTGAAGGAGGCGTACCTCATCAGCCGTTACATTGAAAACCCACTCCTGGTGGGAGGGAGGAAGTTCGACCTTCGCATCTACGTCCTCGTGACATGCTACAGGCACGTTTACGTCGGGGCGGGGGCCGACTTGCCTGCAGCACTGCCGCTGTTGTTGTTTGTTTGCTGTTGGTGTTGTGGTAGGTTTTGGTGGTGGTGGTGGTGTTGGCACGTTAACTTTCGCTATGGGCACAAGCCAGAGAAAAATCGCAGAAAATCCCCAAAGGCTCTTCCGCTGTACCTTTCCGTGCGCTGAAATCCGTGCCTCACGATCTGATTCACGAGAACCGGCGACGGAAGAGGAGATATAATAAACAATGGTCGCAACAGCAAATATCAGTGTAGAAAGAAAGCACAATAAACTTTTGCCACAGGCAACATACAACAAGAACGACGGCCGACGTGCCGGTATTGCCCGTCCTCAGGCCTCTTCGGGTATACCTTTTCGTGCACGGGTTTGCCCGTTTCTGCACCCCCAAGTACACGAGCGACGTGCAGGAGCTGGACAACCCCTTCATCCACCTTACTAACGTGGCCGTTCAGAAGCACGGCGAGGACTACAACTCCATGTGAGTTTCGGTGAAGAGACGCAACAGCACTAGCACCGCAGCAACTTCATCAATAACAGCGACCTACATCAGAAGCGTACACCAGGCGGTGAGTGCTAACAAATTGGCAAAAATCCCGTGTCTGCTACTTTTCTGCCTCCGTGTGATGGGTATGGTGATCTAAATCTTTTTTGTTCTGACAACGGCCATGACAGCACACGCGCCAGTGCCGTTTTGTTTGTTTACCCGAGACGACAATTACTATCTCTCGTTGGCGCGAAATCCCCACCGCACTCGGCAGGCACGGCGGCAAGTGGCACATCAGAAACCTCCGTCTGTTTCTGGAGGCCACCCGAGGCAGGGAGGCTGTCTCCGTATTGTTCGGACAGATCGACAGCATCATCATCCACTCCCTGAAGGTACGGGTCTGTGCAGCCTCGCCCTGTTATGACAGATGGACCAGGTTGCCGTACGCTCACGTCTGTTAACGTAAATGTTTGCCTGTGTCTCGCCTAGTCTTACAAACTTTTGAAGACAGATCGGCGGCACCATCACACACCCCCTTTTAGTACCATTTGTCCAAGGTATCTATCGGCCCGTGTTTGGTCTGATGTTCCTTCACGATGGCATTATTTTTGTTTACTCATCAGCTCCAACCAACTTTCAGCCCATGGGTAGCATCACGTGTTGAGTTTATTTCCATTTTTTCACCACGACTACGCCGCGGCTAAGGTGATGGTGGCGTCGTGGGGGAGTGGGGAGAGAACCATGGCACAACGCCGGCTCTTGTCATATTAATAGTTGGCGGGTAAGGAGGTGCCAACGGTGCTGCCACAGAGTGCTACGTACCAGCGTTTTTTGTTGAGAGACACCTCGATGAATCCGACGTTCAGCATTGCGTTCCACGTTCACGCCTTGGGATCGTCCGAGCAGGACTGACTGCTGGCGCTGCATTTTTTTCGTTTCGGTTTTCACCGTTGTGGCAGGCAGTGCAACCCGTGATGGTGAGCGACAAGCACTGCTTCGAGTGCTACGGCTATGACATTATCGTGGACGACCAACTGAAGCCGTGGCTCGTGGAGGTGAACGCGTCTCCCAGCCTTTCCGCGACCACTGAATCGGACCGCGTCATGAAGGTATTCCAGGGATTCTACTGCTAGCCCTTTTTTTTTACCCCGTTCCTCACACCTTTTACGTGGTTCCTGCTTTGATCGCACTTCACCAAACGGGCGACGTTACCACACCCCATCATTAGGCCGGGGCATGTGAGTGCGCTTCATCCCACGGGCATTGCTATCACCACCCGATTGTTAGCACACCCGCTTGTTGCCACACCCCGTGTGGGCGGGGTTCTGTGAGTGCACTTTTTACCACACGGGTAACATAAGATGTCACACCCCTTACAGAATGCCACACTAGTGTGATAACTTTGGTACTGTACCCCAAAACATGCTGTCACACGGGTGTTGTATCTTTTGCAACCTATGGTACCATCCGCTCTATTCTTGCAAAGATTCAAGATTCCTGGCGCAGACCCAGGTACATCATGAGTTCGTGATTTCTGACCATCCGTTTCCTTCCGCAACTCTCTTCCCCCCGCTGGATGCGTGCAGACGACCCTCCTTCGCGACATTTTTGCCGTCGTCGTTCCTCCTGACTTCTCAGACCCGAGCTACAAGGTATAGCAGTAGACTAGTGGTCTCTGCAAGAGGCGGGGTAGTGCCAAGGGATTTGACCGGCAGTATACCGGACCACCTGCACTATTTAGAGAATGAGACGACTTGAATATAATTGCGTCCCCAAACCTGAAAAATATAAAATACCCAAAATAAAACAAGCAATACCCCCAAACCCAATATATATATTTATTTATCGTTGGATGTCTATTCGTCTGTACGGTATTCCGTCTGTATCATGTGATTTCGCCGACCTTTTACAAGACGGGACGGCCTTACTTTTGTGGCCGTGTGCATGTGTCAACATCAGGTGTGCTGTTGCTGTTTCAGCAGTCTCCGAGATGTGTGAGACATTCGCTGAGTATTTCGTTTCGTTGTATCATAGAGACCTCGGTTGGGTCTCGAGGGGTTGGTTTGATGGGTAATGGGGATGTTACCTGGCTGTGGGGACCGCGACTCCCCTCGCCTTTACTCAACTCAAAGAATGATACCCTTTGCTACACTAGCAAATTTTTCGTTCGTACCACCACTGCTGTCGTCTACCCTCCCCTTCCCTCCCGCTTTCCACAACGCGCGCCTCGCACTCCCGGTTAATTCAACTCTATTGAGCCATCACCGAGTCAAAAACGGTGTTTTTGGCGCGCGTTTGCTGCAACTTTAGGACGGACACACACACGAAAAACTCACACAGCGGCCCTTTTATCTGCCTTGACCCGTCTCTCGCACAACGTTCCCGTCCGAACAGGGTCCGGTGTCTATGGGCCCTTGCAAAGACACGGGAGCCTTTTACGTCCTATACGACGAGGAGGCTCTCAACCAAGCGGAGAGGGAGAAGGGCAGCAGCAACAACTCCGGCGGCGGCGGCGGCGGCGTGGGCGGCGGCGGCAGCAACGGCGGCAGGGCCGATTCTCACGGCAACGGCATCGGTGGCGCTTCTTTTTCTTCTTCTTCTGCGGCGGCGGCGGCAGCAGCCGGCGGCGGGGGTATGCTAGGTGGCTCGGGTGTGTTGGGTGGCGGAGGAGGTGGTGGGAGCGGACGGGGGGTGGGGCAACGCGGCGGCGGGGTCAGACGGGCATCCGCTGCCGCGGCCGCCACGGCAGGGCGCCCGGGAGGAGGAACAACGACCGGGCGCTCTTGGCGATGACCAGCCACGGAATACTACTGCTGACCCATGGTGTTCTTGGTGGAAAACGGTCCTAAAATGACCGTCAGACTTGCAACCGACAGGAACTTCGTACCCAGAAAATGCACGTTTACCAGTTGGGCACCCTCCTGGGATGCCAAATCCCCTTGGGCAACTCTGACGCAGCGGTTGTAACTTGGAAACTGCGTGTGAAATCACGGTTCCACGCGGAGTTCGAGCGGCCTTTTACTGTCGGTGGTTGTGCATTCTGCGGTTGATATGTGCTGCTCCCGCTGCTACTGGCGGGCGCCCGCAGAGTGGGGGATGCTATTGGTAGTGGCAACCCGTGCGGTCTGTTGCGTAGCTACGAAATAGATTCAGACAAACGTAGTGCACACCACAGTAGTGTTAATAGGTGTACATGCGTTGTAGAGTTATGGTGCCGTTCGTCGGACTACTGCTGTTAGTGGGAAGTATGTTGTTCGCCAAGAATATTCGGTACCGACCAAGACTTGGCAAAGCCATTCCTTTGACTGAAGCACGCGCTGCAGATACATACTTCCCGACATCAATAGCCCCGTTCTTGGGACAGCTACAGGCGGGTGTGATGGTTAACATTAATTCTCCGTATGCGTCTCCAGGTTTGCGTGGGGCACTTTTATCCTATGCGTACGTGATAACAACAAGAGCATCCCTTCAAAACACCACCTCTCGAGGAAACGGCACTGCCACTAAGAAAAACCACTTCGACCCCATGACTACATCGTCAACTCTTCTAGATATAAATGCCTAGATTGACCACTACGTACGCCACTACCCCCACCTTCGACGCACCTCATCACTCGGACAACGAGCACCCCAACCTACCCGTTGTTCCTATTCCTATCACAAAAGTAAAACCACTTCCAACAATCCTTCCCTACTCAACTCGCCCATCAAATACTACATGGACTTACCTGCTGTACCAACGCAGCAGATCACAACCACCTGTACACCAATTACTAGTTTTCTAGAGGAGCCGTGAGTGCCTGCTTATCGGCATCGTATGTCTATCCAACACCTCTACAAGTAACTCACTTGCCATTTTTCTTTTCTGGGTGGACGCCAATTCACGGCCGTTATATGCACACCACTGCCCCACCCGACAACGGGGGATGACAGTGGTCGCCAGAAACAAAAAAGCGGCGTGGCCGACAAGACACGAACAAGCCAAGAATCCGCCCTGAACCACCTCAATCGTGGAGACCGTTCCCAAGAACATGACCGTTAGGATTCGATGCCGGCCACGCCACAGCAAAGTGTCCTCACATATCTAGAAGAAGATAATCGCTAGGGGAGGACACACGACAATACTAACACTTTCCGATGGTCCAAAGGAATCGAGGGCGTCGGAAAATAACGCCGCCATGCACCCAAAATCACGAACCTCTCTTGATTTCTACAAGTTCCGTGACGGATCCGTCTCTAATACGTAGCGTGCGGTCCCGCACTATCGAGGATACTGCCCTCGCCCCTCCTAATGCCTCATTGAGTGCATTCTATCGCGGGGGTTGCGCCCCCATCTACCCTGTTTCATCATTTTCCTAGCCCCCGCTGGAAGCCGAAGTGTGCTCGATGCGCCTTCTGGTAGTGTATTTCCAAGTCTTGCATCACCTTCAAACACGCCGCCGGGGGAAAGGGGGATCACTCGGTGGTGAGAGGCGGGGTTGCAGAATATGGTACCAGGGGGCGGTAGCGACCAGCGTTATGCCTTTCCACGCCCCTAACCGCCACCTGGCCCCTGCAGCGCCTGACACATTCTCCTATTGTCAGTGTGAGTGTTGCAGTCCAGTCCCCCTTGCTTTGCATGTATGTCCGACAAACTGAGAGGGTGACAGTGTCGAACAAAATGGTCCCAAGTACACCGTGATTTCGGCACACCGAACTGGGAGACGAATCATTCTATTAAACAAGGCTTTCTTTTTCTCCGCTAGAGCGGCAAAAGCGAAGATATCTATGCTGATTTCATCGCAAACCCCCCGCAGGACCATCAGCTTTAGATTGGGCAAAGTCAACAAGACTATGGGGGGATGTGGGCAGCGTAAACAGAACGTATGCATGAGAGAGCTGAGTAAAACTGGGCGGTAGTTATGAACCGAAAAACATACTTACAACACAACCCTCTCGCAACACACTCAAAATAATTTTGAAACCACAACAACAAAAAACGAAAAATACTATACCTTCGCGTTCGCCGCCCGGCCGTCGTCGGCTCCGGCCCCACCAGCACCAGAAGAAGGAGAACAGGGGTTTCCCATCCCTCGCGAGGCGGTTGAGGCACCCGCCGCCGCCGCCGCCGTCGCCGCCGCCCCCTTCTTCGCACCCAGCAGCCGGAGGAACTTAACCTGCCGCTCTGCCGGCCCCAAGGCCGCGGCAGCTTCTTGCCACCTCTGCTCGACGCCGTTCGCTTGTTGATCCCCCTCCTGGGAACAATGTCCCAAACCGGTCGGTCCCAATCGCACCGGAGAAAGGACGACGTCAGCGGGCAGACGGGAGTAAAGTCAGTGCCAACGGACACCGTTACGGGCATACATTGGAATTCCACTCCACCACCAAGTGAAAAAAGGGCCGTGTTAACAGAATTTATTAGACAGTTCCCACATCGGGGATGCGTGTGGACTCGCACCAGAGAGCAGGGTGGACGCGAGAGACAGAGGGGTGATCTGATACCAAATTCTTCCAAAAAGCTGAACGATTGGTTGACCGGGAAGAGAAAAAACCCAAAGCGGCGCGTGTTCGACTGCCGCAAGATGCACCAAAAGCCCTCACGGACACAGAAATACGACAATTTCCCAGCCTCATGAGGGGAACAGGGGTGGGGAAATGCTGCAGGAATGTATACAGGCTGGGCGTGGTAGAGGTATCCTTTCACTTCCGGCGGCCCGTTTTGGGCAAGAATTTTATGAAGAGACCGTGCGAGGGAGGACGAGAACAAAAATAACCCGCGCGGGCCAGTTACGAGACACAGCGAATACGGCCCGTGAGGGAAGGGAAGAAGAAGAGGGAGGGGACCTCTGCAAGATGTCACAGGCGGGCCGATGGGTAATTGAGTGCGTGTTTGGGTGCCTCTACCTAGAGAGTGAAAGCTCCGCGAGCTGGGTCCTGTACTCTGGCTGTGGCCGGGCGAAAATCGCGCCACAATCACGAACAGCAAGCACGACGTAAAATACGAACATCGGATTAACCACATAGAAGTGCGAGATACTTGTGTCTTCGCCTGCGTAAACCTGAGAGGACAGAGGAAACCGTGGTGGTGGCGGTTGGGGTGGGGTGCTATGCTTGCACACGCGGGGTAAAGTTGTCGGAACATCGAAAAGCGGATATGGTGGGTGTCTTTATCGAAAGTTTTGCTTGCGACCAGCCGGCCTGCTGTCTGTCTCCGCCCGTTCTGAGGACGGAGGCGTCGCCACCACCGCGATCCCGGTGCCTGCGGCAGTGCCACCCGAAACGCACAGGTACGGGTATGGGGGGTACGCATGGCCGGGGGGGGGGGGGGGGGGGGGGGCACCCCGGCGAACTTTTTTTTAAAAAAAAAAAGGGGGGGCAACCCCCCTGGGGAAAAAGGAAAAAACCAAATGTGTTTTGGCCAAAAACTTCAATCCCTTGTTAGGGGTTGAATCTGAACTAACTGGTGGGGAAAGTGTTTTACCTGAAAGGGAGGGATGGTGGTGGGGTCTCCCAACCCACCGGGGGATTGGTAGAAAAAAAAACAAAAACCCCCAAGGCCGAAACCTTTTATTTTATGCCTTTTATCCGTGCCAAAGTTATGCTCCCCCCCCCCCCTGGCCCTTAATGGTTTTGCAAAACACTCCGGGAAACACCAAGAACACGGGAACCCCTGTTGGATTTAAGCCTCTGTCCAAAAAAACCGGCCGGGGGGGGGAACCCCACGAAATTTCCACTGGGTTTCTGGGGAAAAAAAAAAAAACATAAATGTTCCCAACGAACAAAAAAAAAAAAAAATATTTGTTAAATGG